GCACTGGTATACATGAGCATGCGTAGAAGGGCTAAACATAACCTTAGCCTGATGCATGCTCAATAATCCAGGTAGAAAAATCTAAAAAAGTTAAATCTGGTCCTCTGGACATTAAAAAAAAAAAAAGCAAAACAACAAAAAATGTAGAAACGTTTCGTCTCTCATCCGAGAGACTTCTTCAGTCTGAGGTGCTGTTTTCAGCTCAGTCTCTTAAATAGCACCTTCTCAGAGTGGATCAACCAGTTTTGCTGCTGACAACCAAAACCAACTGATCACATGCTCAAGAAGGACCATCAGCCTAACAATGGATCATTAGCACACTGATGGCTGTGTACTATTCACAGAGGGCTGAGTGATACTAGCAATCATAGCATTGTAAGAGGGGGACAATTGAACCCGTAGGCCTCCACCCCTGTTTAATGATGGACGGTTTCTTTTCACAAAGATGGCCTCCTTTACTCCTCTCTCAAACCATCGTTCCTCTCTATCCAGGATGTGCACATCTTCATCCTTGAAAGAGTGACCGCTGGCCTGGAGATGAGTGTAGACCGCAGAGTCCTGGCCTGATGATGTTGATCTTCTGTGCTGGGCCATCCTTTTGGCCAGTGGCTGTTTTGTTTCCCCGATGTAAGACTGATCACAGCCCTCCTGACACTGAACAGAATACACAACATTACTCTGTTTGTGCCGGGGGACTGGATCTTTGGGATGAACCAGTCTTTGCCGTAATGTATTTTGGGGTTTAAAAGCCACTGGGACGTTATGTTTAGAAAATAAACGTCTCAGTTTCTCTGATACTCTCTCAACATATGGAATGACCACTGGTCTGGGTCTGGGTTCCTCCTTTTCACCTGTTGGCTGACTGGAGTCCTGTTTGGGTTTCTTCTCTGCTTTTAGGAAGGCCCAGTTAGGATATCCACATTGCTCTAGAGCCTGTCTGGTGTGGGATTTCTCCTTCTGCCTGGCTCCTGAGCTAGTGGGGACGCTGTCTGCTCTGTGATACAGAGTCCTGATGACTCCTAACTTGTGCTCCAAAGGGTGATGGGAGTCAAACTGCAAATACTGGTCTGTGTGGGTGGGTTTGCGGTACACCTCAGTTTGCAAATGTCCTCTATCAGAGACTGAGACCTCACAGTCCAAGAAAGCCAACCTGCCATTTTTTACATCTTCTCGTGTGAACTTGATGTATTTATCCACAGAGTTGATGTGGTCAGTAAAATGTTGGACTTCCTGAGATTTGATTTTAACCCAGGTGTCGTCAACATACCTAAACCAATGACTTGGTGGTGTCCCTGAAAAGGACGTCAAGGCTCTCTTTTCTACCTCCTCCATGTACAGGTTGGCAACAATAGGAGAAACTGGAGACCCCATAGCACACCCATGTTTCTGCCTATAATATTGCTCCCCATATGTGAAGTAGGTTGACTGCAGGCACAGTTTCAAGAGTTGACACAGTTGTTCTGTGGAAAGCGTGGTCCTGCTGCTCAGAGTGGTGTCTGATTTTAATTTTAAACTGACCACCTCTACTGCATCATCAACAGGAATGCACGTAAAGAGTGATGTGACATCACAGCCTTGACGTCCTTTTCATGTAGATTGTAAAGAGGGTGGGTCCTAAGACTGAGCCTTGTGGTACACCATTGTTGACTGTTAAATAACTGGAGGAAGTACCATTATGTTGAACATCCTGATACATGCTCAATAATCCAGGTAGAAAATCCAAAAAAGTTCAATCTGGTCCTCTGGACATTCAAAAAAACAAAAGCAAAACAAAGCAAAAAAAAAAATCTAGAAACGTTTCGTCTCTCATCCAAGAGACTTCCTCAGTCTGAGGTGCTGTTTTCAGCTCAGTCTCTTAAATAGCACCTTCTTAGAGTGGATCAACCAGTTTGCTACTGCTGTTGGAATTGTTTTAGAAGACACAAGACTAGAAACCAGAGAATCTCTAATGTAAATAATGACTCCACCCCCCCTTTTTTGACGATCACAGCGGTAGATGTTAAATCCTTTGATTGCCACGTCATTATTGAGTACAGATTTGTTGAGCCAGGATTCAGAGATGAAGATAACATCTGCCCCAGAAGAACTGACCAGAATTTTCAAAGCATCAAGTTTTTTCAGAAGGCTACAAGCGTTTACATGCAAAAAATGAAGACCAGACACGTTCTTAAAGTCATTTGGTGTGCTGTAATTAGTGGGGGGTCCAGGGTTGGGCTGAATCCCTGAGAGCAGTAACAACATTATTATCAGACATTTTCTTGAGTTTTTTGTGACTGATGTGTAATTACAGGAGTTAACAGTGTGACAATTAGCCCCATAATCAAACCATGAGAAACATTAATGAAGACGTGATCATTCAGAACCCAAAAACAGTGAAAGTGGCAGTGATGGGCAGATTCAGGTGTATTAACAAGATTCAGTGACTCCAGATAATCTGAGAACTGAAAATAATGACAGTAATATGAATGATGCAGAAAAGTTTCAGACCATAAAACATCACAGTTCAAATGGGCAAACAAACCCAACGAGGTGGCCCAACTGCAGTTTGAGTTGGGCTAAGGAGGGCTCCGGCCCCCAGTGAAGATGGATGGATGCTCCCATGGGAAACAGAAGGTGGGTCCAGAATCAACAGGCCGAAACAGATAATTCGCAGCAAACAGCAGAGCGAGCTGTCAGAAAATCCCCCTGAAGTGAAAGGCATGATCCTAGCTCGTTTCAGGTCAACAGGGGCCAACAGTGTGATCCGGAATAAAATTAATTATTATCCAGGTGAGTTTGGATGGAGGCCTGTGCAGCCCTAATCCTTCACACTGCTCCTTCACGCTGCTCCTTCGCTTCTCTGCACGACACCTCCGCAGACGACAGCACGAGGCACCCCCGGTGAAAAACGAGACTGACCGGAGAGGCTGAGGCTGAAGTCGACAACTGGTCCGGTCCAATTCTGCTCCAGTCCGGCTCCGGCGCTCCACAGCACGAGAGACGAAGAGGCTGAAGATGCCCCTGGCCCGATTTTACTCCGGTGGCTCCGGAGGCGCTTCAAAGCACCGGAGTGTCTCCTCCATGTGAACACAGCGATTCCACGGAGGTGGACAGTCCTTCGGTAAAAGTAACGGGCTGCTCACTGAAGCTGAGACCGGCTCTGTTAAAGACTAAATCCCCCACAGCCACCTCGGTTCGGTTCTGGTCCAATTCAAGGGACACAGGTACACTTCCCCCACACCTATGAAGGCACCACGAGGGCCAGTCCAGCAGAAAACCAGTGAAATACTACCCGGCGATTTTTGTCGGAACCAGGTAGAACCACAAAGGTCCATATATGAGTTCGTTGAGGTCCAGAGAGAGAGAAAAAAAAACACTGGACCTTCGTGCGACGACTCCCCAGCTCGATGGGTCACCTGGCCGGCAGGGTGTGTTTAGAGTGACCGGTGAAGTGGGAGCGGCCGGTCCTGGACCAAAAATATATTTTTGGACGGTCCCGTCCGGCTCTCTGAGTCACTGAACACCGAATTCGGTTGGAAGGAGGACCAACTTTAGTCCGGTTCGAAAAAACGGGTCAGTTTGATGATAAAAAACTGCAGAGAAGCCAGAGGGAGCTGCCGTCCATCAGCTCGCCGGAAGTGAAGTGCATGTATATGCATGTATGAAGTGCATGAATATGCATGTATGTCCAAAAAGGCAACTTGAGGTAAGTTTTATTAATGTTAACAACCCTGGCTTCAGCATGGAACTCCAGCAAAGCCATCATATCTGCTGTGGTAATGAGAAAAATGGATGCATATTCTGGTAGGACCCAACATCTTTCTTCTGATGAGAGACACAGTGCCAACTAAGTTTGTTTAGATAATTTAATTCACAAATCTGAGATAAACTTACCCACATTTTACCATTAAGAGCTAAGAACCTTAGTCCAAATTGAATCTAAAAACTCCTTCTCAAAGTCTTAAGATTTAAGTCTTTCTAAAATAATATTATTGGTTGATAATTAATATTCAATATTTGCTGTAATTTCCATGTCATAGTTCAAACTGAAAATAAATGTTACAGAATTGTATTTAAATTACGGATTCTTCATGTTTTTCTTCGAGGGACAGGAATTAAGTTGGCTACATATATATATATATATATATATATATATATATATATATATATAACAGTTATATAATGTAGGCTTGTCGCAATAAACAATATAATAATATAACAATTTTATAATAAACAACAATTAATCACATGATAAATGAAAATAATTTACGTCATTTTTATTTATCGGCTTTATAATTTCTTCGTGTCTCTCTCTTTCTACTGGACACTGGATGACAAAAAGCTAAACTCCGGTGTTCTTCACAGACCCCTCCCTTTCTCTTTAAGAAACCATCTGTGTTCTTTTTGAGAGGGGGGTGAAGGAAGCAATTTATGTAAAAAGAGAAAAGCCGTCTCTTAACAGAGGAGGAGGCCTCAGATTCCCACTTTCAAAAACATATAATGCAACTTTAAAACAGATCCCCAGCCGGTTTTCACACCTGATGGGAACAGAGGGGCCTCGACTGTGAATTAGAGGAACAAAGACTCCTACTGTTTAGGTTTTTAGGTGTGAACTGCCAATCTACATATATGTGTGTGTGTGTGTCTTATGTGTGTGTGTGTCTTATCTCACTCAGCCTTATAACCTGTATCTCTCACTCTCTGCTCTTTGAATTGAGAAAGCTCCTCGGATGAGGAGCGAAACGTCTTCTGTTACAAATAAAGTCCAGTTGTTTTTGTATTGAACGCTTTTTGAATTCATCATGTCCTGGATGACTGAGAATCTTCACCAGCATATTGCATATAATATTATTTTTTTACCTTTGAACTTTTCCAGAGGTCAGATTTGGACCTTTGAACATAAAGTTTAAGAGCCCCTGCTATAGAGGACCATAATAGGGTGACATGCTTGATCGGACTTTTGTGTATAAAGTGTTTGTTTTTTTTGAGAACCCACAACGTCTTGTGTAGACAGAACTCACCTGCTTTTCACTTTAAAATGACCGTTTGGCTGTTCATCATCATCCTCCTCCTCATCATCATCATCCCTTTTTAAAGTTTTCTTCTCTGAGCTGCAATGCCTGGTAGGAAGGCCAGCAACCTGCTGAGAATCTGAATAAGAAAAACGTTGGTTACGTACTGTAACCCCTGATTCTATGAGTTTAGGCGTAGCCCTTTAAGGCTGTCGCTTAGTGGGTTTTATCCCATCATGCGAAGCATTGCACTTAAAAATTTTGTCCACGCCCACCTGCTGTGTGGGCCCCACCTGGTCCGTATAAATTACGTTAAGAGCGGGTAATCGGCTCCCAAATAGCTTTTTCTTCAGCCACTTAGGAGCCAGTGAGGCCCGACGCTTAAAGGGCTATGCCTATACTCATAGAATCTGGGGTTACAGTACGTAACCAACATTCTATTTCGTATAGGCTTCGCCCTTTAAGGCTGTCGCTTAGTGGGTTAAGGAAGAAGAAGATGTGGTCCTCGCCTCACTGGGTCCATTCGAACACCGTATGAAGAGGAGCTTGCCCAAAAACGTCTTGTCACTCAGCTCTCCATGTACGTAATTACGCATTGCGTAATTATGTGTACCATGCACAGAAGCATGCTGTGTAGTTATGCGTTCTGAATGCATGAACGCCCTAAAAAAGTTTCAACGGGGAGGAAAAATGCTGAAAGGAGCCATGAATCAACCGGTTCACGGCTGAACAGTATGAATAGATTAATAATAACAAGTGAGCTGATTATTAATCAAATGAACTGATTGGTAACAAGAGTCATGAACTGATTAATGACAATAGAACCAAAATAACTTGTGACTGATAACAACATCTCACACTGTAATGCATGCAGACAGATGTGAGTTAAAATGGGGTTCCATGAAACAACAATATTCATTCTGTTAGAACACTAAGTACAGAATGTGTCATGGAACGAGCCGTCACATCACGTAAATAGGAACGAATGAATGAGCAGGGTGTTGACCACGCAGCCGCAATACAAATATCCTGCATTGTCATACTATTATGCAAAGCAGTCAAAGATGCGATACCTCTGGTCAAGTGCGCCCTGAGGTTATCAGGAGGCTCTAAATCTGATGCTCTGTAGGCTTTAGAAATGGCCTCACACAGCCAGTGTGACAGGCGCTGGATGGATAACGGGCGACCTGCAGATGCATCTCTATAAAGCACAAAAAAATGTTGAGTTTGATGCATTGCAGCTGTGCATGATATGTAACACATCAACGCCCGCACAGGACAGAGCAGATGGAAAGATATTTCTTCTTCTGATGTGTGTGTGTGTGTGTGTGTGTGTGTGTGTGTGTGTGGGGGGGGTGCTCCAACAATATCACTCTTGGTTAAAAGAGCTCGTGATGTTTTAGGCATAAACGCTGGATTTGGTCAGCTGAGCTGCCGTCAGCCTGAATTCTAAGACATGACGGAGCGACAAAAAAGGCAGATAAATCACACCCTCTTAGCGGATGTTAAAACCAGCAGCAGGGCTGTTTTAAGAGACAAGAATTTAATTGGAACATGATTCAGTGGCTCGAATGGAGCTTGATCAGGGCCCGCAGGACCAGCGTTAAATCCCACTGTGGAGCAAGTGGGCGTGAAAAAGGACTGCGTCTCTGTACACCTTTTAAAAAACGCTTCATCAGCGGATGATTAAAAGCTGTTCTGTCTCCGAAACCTTAGTGACAGGAAGAGATGGCTGCAGCATACGTTTTAATCATGCTGAACGCCAAATTTCTGTCCATCAGCTACTGCAGAAAGGACAGCACGTTGCCTAGTGGACATGAGGTGGCCTCTACATCTTGCGGGAGACTATTCTCTCTAAGCAGATCCGCTCAGCGGCCAGACCCACAGGTGCTGGCCTATTTCTGGGTAACTCCTGATCGCTTCTCCCGCCTGGAGGAGGGCATCCTCCCTCCACAGCAGTTTCCACGTGCGCCCCGATAACTGGCGTCGTATAACCGGAACCATGGTGCGTTCAAGCGCTCGGGAGCCACCAGGAGAGCTGTCAGTCCCTCCTCCTGAACTCGGTTCAGAAACCGTAATATCAGAGGAGGTGGGGGGAATGCGTAAAGAAGTGTTTTGGGCCATGGGCTGTGAGCAAACATGTCCACCCCCAGCGGTGGTTCGTCTCGCGGGCTCAGTGAAGCCCGTAGTTGACACTGAGCGTTTCCCCGTGTCGCAAACAGGTCCACGGCCGCATTGCCAAATTCCTGCCACATCTGGGCCATCAGACCGAAGTGGAGGGTCCACTCCCCGTGACGCGGACCGCCCCTGGACATCACATCTGCCTCTTGTTTAGAACAACGGGGATGTACACTGCTCTGATGGAGAGCAGATTTTGGTGTGCCCAAAACAGCACATTTCTCGCAATGTGTAACATTTGGGCTGAGCGCACACACCCCTGCTGGTTTATGTAGGCAGCAGTAACCTTGCTGTCTGTGTGAATCAAAACATGTTGATTCTACAGCACAGGAGCAAAGTGTTGAATCACATTCAAAACCGTGAAACATTCCAGAACGTTTATATGAACTGTTGTGAGAAAGGCCACAGCACCCCTACAGCACAAGATAGGCATGTCACCTCCCAACCTGACACCGGTGCATCTGTGAAGACTGACATGTGTGACGTAGGTCTGCTGATGGGGGCTCCCTCCAACAGAACCAGGGGGTTTCCCAGTGTCGGAGATCTGTTCTCACAGAGGAAGGAACAGTGATCGTCCGTCTCTTTTTGCCTCACCAGATCCATGCGCTGACGAGCAAACCATCTCTGGAGGCGTCTCATGTGCAGTAAGCCCAGCGGGACCACTGTGTGAGCTGACGAGATCGTTCTTAACAGCTTTATGATGGAAAATAGCTGTTACTACTCTGCCCAGTCTTACGTGGCGGAGCTGGACTCTTAGAGAGTCGATTCTCGTCGGTGATAAACAAATAAAGGAGCCCTCATGGTGGTTGAGATTAGCCCCACTCCCAGAAAAAAATCATCTGGGCTGGGAGAATTAAACTTTTTCAATTTTGTGGCGAAGCCCAGAATTAGCAGGTGTGACGTCAACACCTGAGCCTATGCCGACATGTGAAGCAGTCTGCCCACGATCGCCTTGTTGAAAAACTGACAGGTCCAAATTGGTCCCGTTCCTCCAGTCTGTTTGGAACCAGGAAGTAACGTGAATAAAAACCTGTGTTTTCCTCTCCGTCGGGAACCCCTGGACTTCTGCCTTTAGGGATGAGACCTGCTCTGGATGACAGGACAGTCTCTAAAAACTCCTCCGAACGGAGGGGGTCGGGCTGCAAGTTGCAACATGTAACCCCTGTTATCAGCTTGGCCATCCATGTCTGGCGAGCAAGCCCGCAGCCACTCCGCATAATGTCCGTGGAGTGGGCGCACGTTTAGATGGTGCGTCATGTTTTTACGGATGTCAGTCAATCCACCCCTAGGCCGCCGTCATGAGCCGCGGGAGTGTTTTTCCCGTGACCCAAAGGCGAGGCTTCCTCGAAGGGGCTCTGGGCTCATCTGTGTGCTGCGCTCGGGCTGCAGGTCCACATTCATGTCTATGTGGACCGGCGTGTGTTGAGGAGAAGCGTGTGAAAACTGTTGACGCCGTGGGAGCGCGCGTTGACACTACTTTGGTGAGGGGTGTGCAGCTTGGGCTGAAAACGAGTTATTCCACTGAAACTCGTTGTGCGGGCCACATTCGCTTACGACAGTTGTGTCATGCGGGCGTCTCGCCTTGTTTTGGAGCGACAGTGATTGAAAAAACCTTTTAAAGGCCACTGGCTCATTCGTGTGAAGGATGTGTGACAGAGCCGCTGTCAGGTCATCCGAGCTGACAGACTGGCTAAAATAGACACTTTCATCATAAAATGATGTTTTATTCCAAACACTCGTGTCATCTTCACACACATCCTCCGCAAACCATCATTTTGAGTCATCTCCCCCTGAGCTCTGCAGTTTGTTGTCCTAGGGCACCACCTGTTGGCGATCTCGGGAAAAGCTGAACTTCCGGATGCCGGGGATGTCTGAAGGGCGGGGCTGGCGTAGCAGAGCGGGGAGGTGTTGTGCAGCCGTGGAGCGTCTTGAAAATGATCCCTCGTTGATGAGAGCCCTCCAACAAAAAAGCTTTCTGCAGCTCCTACGAGAAGAAGGTGGAGTGACGGGCCAGGTGGATCTCTGGGAAACCTCGTCCTCCGGCTGCGATGCGAGACCGGCAAACAACAAAGAGGCGCACAGGTTGAGGATGACGTCAGCTGCCTTGCAGAGGGAGCATTACGTCTCCTCCCGCCTCTTGAACGTTGTATGCCAGCAGCGTAACGTGTTGTTCGCTGCGGCCACCTGGAGCACACACTGGTGAGCTCGGTTGGAGAGCGACGTCACCGTCTAGTTAGGCTTACCCGGAGGCGCAGGACGCTGGTCCAACCTGGAAATCTTTGCTCCTAAAGCCTCCGTCAGGCTCGGCTCCAGGGGGGCACTGAGGGAATTTCCGCTCGGTGAAACCCCTCCACTCTGGTGATGGGCACGGATGTGGGAACCAGCGCCCTATTCTACCAGGAACTGGCTGCAGCCTCGTCCCAATAGGACGTCACTGCTGGGAAAAACGAGGCCAGATGGGATCAGGACGGCGAGCCAGAGTGGAGCCCAGAAACCTTCCCGCTAGATCATCCGATCAGGGCGGGGAAAAGAGAGGGATGGAAAAAGTCCCTTCATGTCAGCCGCCTCCTGGATTATGCCGGGCAACTCCAGAGGAGGGCACCGGCGGCTGGGAGCGGTATGGTTGCCGATGCGAAACAAGGTGTGTGTATGTGTGTGAGGGGGGGGGGGGGGGGGCATTCGCTCAGCCCCCCTCTACCAACACTACGCTCTCCAGGAGGGAATGAGCAGTGGGGGGCTGCTGCTGACGTCGCCTGTCCTGGAGGAAACATCCGATTCACTCCGAGAGTCGGCGATGAGGAAAATTACAAGATGGCGTCATCCAGCGTGTAGCGACCTGCCACTGAGAATACTCCTCGGCGCTTACCTTGAAACAAGACTGCTCGTCTGCTTCTCCTCGGGGAGGAGAACTCACCGGGACGACAGGAGGTTGACGTGGCGGAACCACAGGCAGTCTTAACA